GTTTAAGTAGCTTGACTTTTTCCTTATCGCGGGTTCGTTGCTAACCAACTGACTTCATATGCTAAGTTAGCGAAGAGTTATGCCACTTTATGTGTAGCATTATTGGATTTGTTTTATTTCATCTTGTCGTGTCAAGTGATTGGCTGTTGCTTGGTATCCCCGGTGTGGCTGCGCTTGATGTGCATGTTGACAAGGTGCCTACCTGGCTATTACCCACTACCTCGTCCATACTGGCTCCAGGCGACAGTCGGTCGTTGTTTGTTGTGACCGTGCTAGGCTCGAAGAGCGGTTCCATGCACTCAGTGTGGAGCGGACTACGGTCCAGCCACCGCCTTGTGTGCGCTTGATTCCCCAAATACACCGTGCTTGTGTTTGCCTGTGAAGGAGTGTGAGCCGGCTCCGTTGATGAAACGTGGCTCCCATCCGCATGTCTCCCTGTCTTATTCCTTCGGGTTTACAATGGATATGGAGTATGTGGTTGGAGCTGTGGGTGGTGCAACGCAAGCCACCCATGGTCCCGCTGTAGGCACAGGCGTTCTGTGGCTGGCCACAGTGACAGGCAAATCCGAAACCTGATGCCGCCAACCATGTAGGCGTGTATAGCACGGTTGCTTGGCTTTGTAAACGTTTTGTTACTTTTGCTGGTGTCTGAACGTATCGCCAATGCTAAAGCGATGTTTGACGTCCATGGATTTACAATAATTGTACGGATGAACATGACGTTGCTGGAATACAAATCTTCGCCATTATGAAGCAAGGGGCAGTGAGTTTATTAAGTGGCGAGTCACAACCGCCATGTCACAGTGTTGTTAAACGGACATTTGCGACATTTTATAAGGAGAACGCTTGCAAAGCGAAAACCCACCACGTCCTGGAACACTGCGGCCGAACTATTTGCTGGAACGGTGTAAACCCGAACCACACAGTTGGCACCACGGGGAGATTGTTCGGCTAGCCAACCTCTTGCTAACGTGAGTTGTTGGAAGCTAACTTTCAGTCTACAAGTACTTTGCCAATAACTCTTTTATCATTAACTGGGATATCAACAAGCACCTATTGAATACTCCTTGCACAGGCCAGTTAGGCCCATTGATCATGTCTTTAATGGCGTGCCTCGCGTAGACGGGAACAAAAATTGGTTTATTTATTTAAGACAAATGATCTGGGACTAAAACGAAAATATGAGTCACAAATTTATGCTGGTTGTGACTTGATTAGAAAGAGTCCGTGTGCCTGGAATCTTGGCTATTTGGTCCACTTACATCAGGGGTGTTCAAAGTCCGACCTGCGGGCAAATGCGGCCCGTGTTAACATCGCAACTGACCAGCGGCTTCATCATGAAATAATAAATTCAGGCTTGGCTTTTTTCGTACATATGTAATTTTTGTTATTATCTTGATGTCAGACTGAATGTGGCCCGACATCTTTTTACCCCACAAAATGTGGCCCTCCTAGAAAAATGTTTGGACACCCCTGATTTAAATGGATTGTTTCTTCAGGTCTACAGGCATTGTGGGTTAGGGGGGAGGGGTAACTGCTGATCAGTAAGTTCCCAGGGACATATATTATTCGCGGGGAGGTGTAACTACCACTAGGTATCTTCTCTATGGTTATGGTGACCCACGACCTCACAAAGGTTGAGCACTACTAACCTATGGAGATGTTGTACAACGGCAGTGACCTAGTACCGCGGTGAGAATCGAGGGATGACCATGAGACAGAAACCATTCTCCAAACACCCAAGGAAGGCAATCGGTTTGCTTCATACGACAGGAAAGTTGGAATCTCATCACGTGGATGCAACGTGTGCACTGTGCCCCTTGCATTCCACAGCACAAGAGGCTGTTGATTTTGCGGATGGTCCTAGGGAACATAGAGTTCTTCCAGTTTCATCCCCAAGCTTGGGCCGGCGCCCTATCACATGCTGCCAAAATTACGGGAAACTAGCTCGTAGCCTTGTATCACTCCCTGATTGGATTGCGGCGTTAAAAACCTCGTTTAGCAAACAACACCCGGTCTGACGTAAACCGTCCCGTTACAAACGTTTAAAGTTTGTCATGCTACCGGGCAGGCCAGTATTTCCATTTTCGGTGCTTAACCGAACCTTTTAAACACTAAGCGAGCACCACTGCTTTGAAGGAATCTGTTCTTTAAATGCCAAAGCAGTTTGTTCTCTCCGTTGTACATGTAGGGATGGTTTTCCAGGTTTCTGGTGAACACAGTTCTTTAGCACAACCACGTACTCACACATAAACACAAGGTTCAGAAAAGTGCTTCTATGCGTGGATTGTCTGTGATCTAATCAAAACGGTGGTCTTTCGGCGACACTAAATTAGTCGATTCTAACTCTAGCCAGAACTAGGGGGACATCAAATCAAGACGTGAGCCAGAAACGCCGTTCCCTTTATTACTCTTACCAGATACAAAATACGTAACATTGCGTTTGCATCATATTTCTTACCACAGTCTGGAGTGCTATACAACCTTCTGTTATGGACACAACACAGTGCATTTTGAAAAGAACAGTGCGTGGGCTCATGCTGCAGAGGTCAGATGGCGGTGAATGTGACTGAAACTTGTAGCAAACCAATGACTACCCACCTCAGTCCACTCAAGGGCATGTCAGCTCAACGCGTTATTTTCCCACCGTTAGGTAAGTGCTGCCGGTGTGGAGTCAGTTTTCCCATTGACCCCACCCGCACATCAAGGATATCCGCACTCCTGGGTCCTACTCGAAAACTCAGCGGATATAGCAGTGCATTGATCTAAGACTCCACCCGTATCCTCCTTCTAACTTCACCTGAGTATGATAGATACCCTTCAATAGATGTCGGACCATGCACTGGTCTGAGGAGCATGCACTTTGAACAAGATCTCAGTTCCTCGGATAATTGCGTGGTGAAGAGAGGTAATTCTCCGCTCCCATCTACATCAAGTAACCTCAGATGTGTCCAGATGCAGAGACTACACAATTCGGTCGACTATTCGTTCCTATGTCTACCTACTGTTTCAATGGAAGGAAGGGTAAAAAAAGGCGACGTTTTCTGTAACCTAATTAGAGACAAGTTACCTCCATCGTGGCTGTGGATCAGATCGGTCTGTTACGGATTAGCATATCACATCCGTGAGCTACTGTGCTCGGTTTGATAAAGCGCACGGCATCGATAATCTCTGTGTGTTAGCTTCGGTGAGCACGAGGAGCTGCAAAATTTGCTGTGCATGGGTCGGTGCATTGTGTCGCTTGCGTTGCGTGGCCGTGGAAATTGGAAAGTAGGCGCGTGTGCAGGCAGCAAGCCGGTTAACGCAGCCATGTAAGCGTCATCACTGCCAGTTGACTCCGCAGGATTGGTCATAGTGTCCGAACTGCTCAAGGGCAACACGAAGTGCCATGCTCGGCCCTCAGATGTACAAAATCGTACTTGCTAAGGTGCGTGCAACTAATTCCACTTTATACTATCTTCATTCACTGCATAGAGAAGCGCGATCCGCTGCCTGTAACCACACGCGAGTGCACGCGTACATCCTGCTCGGAAGTAAGGGTGTACTTTACTGACACGGACAGCAACACATGGGTGGCCAAATTTCAGCCTGGTTGTTTATGTAACAGGATATGAGAGAACAGACACCTGGTGTGCACTAGGAGTGTTCCTATCCACTCGTCTGTCTGCGGTGTGCTCGCCGGACGGGTAAAAGTCGATCAACTACGTGGTTTAATGCCATGCTCAAGTCTTAGAGGAGAAAGTGCTGTATTGCGCTAGGTGAACAAGTGTGTTGAGCGAGTAATTGGATGGAGAGTATCAGACGTGCAAACACGGAATATCCTGCGCATGCGTGGTTGATGTTACTGGCTCCTGTGAAATGAACTCCGTGGCAGAATAAAAATAACCGAGCTGGAACTCTCACCTGGAATATAAAGGCTGTGGAGGAATGTCCCCACTTTTACAATACCTAGTCGCAAACAGGCTTGTCGCAGTGGTTAAATGATCTTTAATTGCTTGTTTAGGGTACAAGTGGCCTCAGTATACCCATTGCAATTCATTTGGTCAACTGAAACCCCAGATAATGTAGCGTAGCTACTTTTTAAGGAAACTCTCAACACCGAGTCTGGTTATCAAACCTTTATAACAAATATATTAGCACGCTGCGCTTTTTGCACAGAACAACTAGAAACCGTGACTCTTAGGCAATTATTATTTAGGGGTGAACTTTTGGTCAAACTTCGCCAATCAATCGGCTTTCGCGAGGTGGTGACAAGACCCAAGTTGGTCGTCACTTTCCACACACCAACCGACGCAAATGGCGCTTGTACACCCACTGCGCATATCCCCTCTTCTCCACGGACGTCATGACAACGCGGTACTCGGTGGAACTGAGATGGTCATCAAAGTTACACTTCCACAATGAGTCCGAATCCCAGTCCAACAATTTTATAGGGTTGTAATTGCTCCGCTAATTGCTTCGAATTGGCGCTTTCCCTCCAGTGTCCTGCTTTAAACGATGCCTGTTTTGACACACTTGACCCCTCGAACGACTGTGAACTCGGGTAATTGCCCTGTGGACGCTTAGGTCAGACCATACCGAGGATACCACAGCAGAGCAATTTTGTGTCAGAGCAGAGCTAGGGTTATTTTGCCCACTTAACTTCCACGTGGATGAGACTCGGTGATGTCCGCGCAGGTCTCCATCGTAGTAAGCATGCATCAACAATGTCTAGTTAACGGAACTGTACACTGCTTGACACTTCTGGCGGATTGTGTGGGCTTGCACACTAGGTGGGCATCAACAGGATCAAAGTACTTGTTAGTCCAATACTCAATTATGAGGCATACATAAAATGTGCGCTACGGTTACACTTTAAACTGTTTAACTGGCGGCGGAAACGCGTGATGAGGATGTATAGGGCAATCACTTCAGTACCACGTCTCCTACTCACGTCTAGCTGTTTATGGGGATTTTATCATCATGCCTCTCTTCTCTTCTACTACCCAGTTACACGTCTCATGGGAGCAATAAATGCTGCCATAGCTGGTTCTTATCCAGGACATCTGAGTCCAACTTTTCACCCTGGCTTCATCGGCGGTGCTGGAGGCGGAGCTTCTTCGTTGAGCTACATCAACAACTACGGACTAGCGCGTCCGCCGTACCCAGAACTTACCGACGCTCGAAGTCACACGTCGAACGGTAGGCATGTGGGCACCTCTGGAATCACCCGAAGAACTAATTACCCCTTCACCACCCTTCATACAAGTGGTATATCAAGTGGTGGGGGTGGCGTCAGCGCATTATCACCACCACACTCATCGCCATTTCAATCATTCGGCGTTGGGAAACGATCTGGTGATAGTGTTACCGAGTGTGGAGGCCAATCTTCATCCGCAATAGGTTTGCACGGATCATCATACAATGCGGCAATGTTGGCTTATGAAAAGCACCAGAAAGCCGTTGCTGTAGCCGCGGCAGCGGCGGCCGTGGCTGCAAGTGGTATACACCATCGTCATCACCACCATCATTCATCTCTTGCGCCCCCAGCACAACCTACGCCACCTCAGCAACAGCCGCAACCATCCATGAATTTGAATCGTGTCGCGAGCCCTGGTATGAATATCGCTCATAACATGCACCAACTCCCACACTCGCTACAGCATCACTTGCACAACTCACCTTCCACATTTCGTGGTCTCTCCCAACGGCGAAAACGTAGAGTGCTTTTCACCCAAGCACAGGTGTACGAACTGGAGAGGCGCTTCAAACAGCAGAAATACTTATCCGCTCCGGAACGAGAACATTTATCTCAGATGATCAATTTGACCCCGACACAGGTGAGTTTTTGGCTCATTATTGGTGATGAACTGTAGTGTCCGTGTTACGAACACTGGGCAATGACTTGTTTAGAGATATAGTGAAGAGCCCTGGTACGCAATGGCTTGCTTTACTTTTGTAGGGTAGTTTCCCAAATGCACTGGGTTTCGATCAGAATGCCACTGAGCAGGAAAATGACACGTGTCTCATATGGCAAAAACACCGTAACTCTCATTCGTCGACTGGATCCATGATTGTTGTTTCTTCGTGAGGTGACTCTGGTTAGCAACATCATGTTCCCATGCATATGAGTTCGAACCCCCCACCTGAACGATTCTGTTCGCTCCTTACAGACAGTTATGCGGCCTTGAGCTGCATTGGGACTGACTGGTCTAATTTCAACTTTCTTATCACAAATGGAGCTTTGTGTGTGTTGCTTAGCATAAAGTTTAGGACTGTATTACAATGTAGACACGCGATAGGCATTCACGGGTCCAGAAATTACGTAGCTGGTTGATTACAGCCTAACAGTTGTATTTTTTTGTTATAAATTGAAGTGAATGCTCAGCGGAGAGACGAGACGGCATGGGTGGATGAGTCCGGTTACTAAACGACTACCGTAACATAATTTATGTCTTTCAACTTAGCATCCAAGTACCACACTTCGGTGGAATTTTCCTTGCCTTCATTGAAAGTGCGCGGTATACGGTAGTAAATTGTAAGTCAGGTTTTACAAACATCAAAATCCTTCCTGATCCCTTAGGCGGAAAATTGTACACGCCTAATGTAGGTTAATATGTTGGAGACTGAATTTTATTGCATCAACACAAGAGCTTACACAGTACTTGACAACCAATAAGGGCATGATTACCTGTTGTACTGCGCTTTGTTTTCCACATGCAGTTCACTTTAATGCATCAAAGAACATCTGGACAAAAGGTTGGACCAAGTCGATCCTCTGAGAGAAGAACCACACGCTTCTGTGATCATCAGTATGTTCACTAGAGGATGGATGTCTTGAGAAATATTGAAGCCGGCGCTGAGTTAGATATTCTACAATATGCGTGCTCGCTGTGTGCGACCTGGAATTTGGAGGCTTGAACGAATTGCTGTTTGATGAACATGATTCCTCGAAACCCGTGTATACTTGACTCTAAGCCCGACCCCGAGGTGCGGTGGATCCAGTTGCCACGACTCGCATCAGCAGGATAAAAATGAATAGCGCTAGTGAAGAAGGCAATGCAGAGCGCAGGACATAAAGAAAAATGGGTCAAGAATAAGTAAGCCAAGTCAGTCGGAACAGAGCATTACCAGCCAGATGCGGGAGACCGAATGCAGTAACGCCACTGACTACCACGGTCATAAATGTCGAGGTGTCCAACCACGTCCACGAAGACAACAAGCACCAATCTTAACGAGCTTAGATCAATATCATCCTTGAATGGCTGCCCCGAGATTTCACCCAAACTTGTGCAGCGACAACGTGAACCGAATTAGGTCTGCAATGAATATCCGCGTGTGTTCTATTCGAATGCGGTAGATTTGAGCATTGGGTTTGAGCAGCTTACCATCAAATCATGATCGCTTGATTCACTCATCCAATAGATGCATCCGAAGGACATTGCTTCTAGTTTCACGATGCAGTAGGTGTTATCGGCACTGCTGTGTCGGCGTTTATATTAGGTTGTTCGGAAAGTGATTCCGTTTTTTGTATGAAAATAAAGGACCACTTTCTTATAGGTCATAAATATTATATTGAATTGTGGCCTAATACCATTTGCCATCTTCCTGTTAGTAGCATAATTCCACGCTCACAAAAGCTTTGTTCTTTGCAGGTAAAAAACCGATCCAGGTGATTTTTGACCGCCTCATTTAAGTAAAGATTTCACCATCTAAAATTTTCGGTAGAAACAGGAACAAATATTATTCCGAGAGCGCCAGATCTGGAGAAGATGGTGGGTGTGGCAGTGTATCCCTTCCAAGCTGTAAAAGCTTTTGGCGAGTTACCAAACTTGTATGTGATCTCCTATTATCTGGATGGAACACTACATCTTTTCTATTGATTAATTCTGACTTTTCTGTTTAAGTGAGTCATTCAGTTTGCCCAGCTGATGACAGTGTACTTCAGAAGTGATGGTCGTCCGGTAGAATCTTAAAAACGATTCCTTTAAAATCCCACTAAACAGGCAGCATTACCATTTGTTGATGAATATCAGATTACGAAGTGCTTTGAGCCGGCTCATCATTTTTACTCCGTGATCTCTTGCGTTTAAAATTGGTGTAGACAACCCATCTCTCGTCCTCAGTGATGATGCGCTCCAAAAATGGATAATTTTCTTGACGTCTGAAAAACAAATCGCAAACGTCAATGCGAAGGCATAAATTTTTTCTGTAGGAACATGAGGAACCCATATGTCAAGCTTTTAGATGATACCTAAGCGTAGCAAAGAATCATAAACGGTCGAATTCGATAAATTTAATCTCTCAGCGATCTCACAAGTTGTTATTCGCCGATTTGCGTCAACAAACGCAAATTACTTAATTAAGTAATTACTGCGAGATCGAAATTTTTAAAACCAGTTTGGACACTGGTGTACTGTCAATACATCTTCTCCATACACATCCGATAATTTGTTCTTGCTTGAACAGCATTTTTACCCCTTTGATAGTAAAAAAGTAAAATATGCAGAAAATGCTACTTTTTTCTTCCTATACTTGAAAGGGCACCAAGTAAAAGTTTCTGCGTAGAATCAATCGAACTTTTGCACGAACAAGCTTTGCTATGTCACCTGTCAAAATATACAATGATTATGCAGATTATAAGTGAAGTTGCTTGTGAAAAAACAATAAGAGGAAACGAAAAACGAAAGTACTTTCTGAACCACCTAATAGTACATCATCACGGTGGTTGGATTATGCCTGTGTGATAGAAAGTGCAACGTAGCTTTTTGTCGTTCATTCTAGCTCATTCGGCGTTAATTTTGACAACCCGGAACTCGTCAAGTGTCACCACGACGATTTGTCGTCCCTATATAGACCGCCACTGGTGGGCACAGCCCAACTGCATTGGTCCGACGTCGTTTTGTGGTTTTCTTGTCAGAAAATTCGAAAACAGAAGTATACGGACACTACTATCATCCCTATCCCAATATGAGTATCCAACGATACCTGGGTTGGTACTTGTGTTAGTTAACTTTAAATTCCATAGGCTGTTGTGACAGCTTTTGCTACTGCCATTTGAAGCCACCCGATTACCGGGATGTCTGGCAGTATGGTTAAAGAGGCGCCCTCATTTAGAATCTTATAGATCAGCCGTAACTGCATATTTTTCCATTACAGTACGGTGCCATCAACAGAACCGTGTAGCGTACATATCTGTGGAGTTGGACGTTTCAGGCGTGCGACACCTGCAATTGTGACCATGGAATACGATGACAAGTTACCAATTATGCATGTTAGGACCATAAAAGTTGAGTTGCATTTGGTTATCTGACATGCTCACCGCCGCTGCCATAGTTCTTCTGTTCTCGTACTTTCCCCATTCAGAGGGTAACGAAAAAAACCTCAATTATTCTGAAGCTGAGAATAGTTAAACCGCAAATGACATGATAATCCTCCTCGGAGTGGCCGCAAGTTTTGACTCAGTCGTCTTCACCATGTGTGCTCATCACTAACATGTGCCTCCATACCGAATATGTCATATGGAACTGCGGCTCTGACAGGACAGTGACCACGTTAATCGAGCGAATTCACAAGATTGGACAAAATGGATGACAAAAGGCTGCGTTAATTCCCGTACATATAAGGACTCGAGGTGATTTATATGTTTAGTGCACCTTCACGGAATGCCGTGTGATGCCTCCTAATGATATTGAGCGAGTTCGGTCACGTGTACTGCCTACTGTCACCTGATCCCTACACCAATCCGATAGGTTGCCCACTGAGCATTGTAAACATTGTGACTACTTTTGTAGGTAACTCTTCTTTGGGCTCTATATGTTCACATTGCTGAGTCTGTTGTCACCCTACCTTCTCCAAAAAGGAAAAAGTACTAGTTTGATTTATCAAACTCCAGGGCCTAAATTGGGGTAGTATGAAACGTTACCGTGTAGGATGTCAGCCGGTTCCCCAAGCTGATACAATGGATTTAGTTCGAATGAATCTTTGCATATTGTCGTAAAAAAGGTAACAGATAACACGTTTCAAAGTGTTGTCAAACATTATTACTTTGGTGTCATTTCGTTATTCGGCTGGGCTTTACCTCTTGCGTTGTGTCTCCGACAATCCGTCCTGGGATAGCCCGTAACCGATTAGAATTGTGCCCACCTGTTGCAGGATGATCCGTTTCGCACCATCCACATTTGTCCATGTGTCCACCCCGTGTGGCAGGATCATTGTGTTATCACAACTGCTGACGCGTGAAGCGTACACCGTGTGTGCACGCAGGAAAGTAGTTCAGTGTTCATTGGTATGTGCAACTTACTATGTGGAGCGTGTTGTTCAGCCTATGTGACACCGAACGTCAGCAATGCCGACAATCATGTCCGTGCCGTGCGAGTGCTACAGTGCTCGTTCCTAAACTCACGCAACTATACGAAATGCTGTTTGATGTGGATTTGATTTCAACTCGTGCGTGATCGCTTCACCTGTACCCCTGGTGCCATAAATCCACCTCCCTTACACTGGAGACACTACAGAACTAGCTCTACACAAACAAGTGCCAGGGTGTTAAACTGGAAAACAAAGGATAGTTAGTTAAAATGGGAACAGTCGTGTTCACCGAGCTGAGTGGATGCACAGGGGTTATCACCCAGTGTAGCTGCACGGCTTCCAATGAAAAGCTCTGAGACGTTATCTCACCGTCTTCTTCATCGCCTAAGCTAGGCTAAATGATATGCAAACCGAATGGGTGCTTCACTCATACACCTCAGATGTCGATTTGTTTTCAAATAGATGGACTAAGGAAGCTTAACTTCCCTGATGTACAGGGCAAATAGTGTAAAACAGCGGTTCGCCAATGTTAGCCCCAGTTTGTTTAACTACGACCGGCCTAGAC